GAAGAATTTTATTTTAGATAAAATATTTCGGTTATTTCTTTTTTTTTTTTTTGCGGAATAAATAGAAATCGTTCAAATAATTTTCTTTATCGAGCTTCTTGAACTTCTCCTAAGAATTAGCCAGGCTAATTCGTTTTATCGTAAAATCGCAAGGGTGCATACTCGGTTAACGTTAATCCGGATTGCAGGCACTAAAGAAGTTGATTTATAATCGGTCAAATGTTAATACGTTTGCAAATATGCGATTTGTATCGATGTGCATGTATAATAATTAATCATAGGCTTATCCTCTGAATATATTCTGGAGGAATTTTTAAATGGAAAATTCATCCAAGAATAACAATATATCGCCAATTCCTTTTTTTATTAATGAACGACGTCACTCGTGACTTCGCCATTTTAACAGTTAATTAATTAATTAATTAATCAAAGAAACAAACATGCCTATAAAATCTAACGTAATTTACATTCACAGGAAGCAGGCTAGATATAATAATATTCGGTCTAAAAGCATTCCTTCTAAAAGTAACTGACCGCTCACTACTGCTTGGTGCCACCTTTTTTTTTCCTTTCTTTAACCACCCTGATTCGCATTGTTAGCCCCCTCTTATGGCGAAGAAGCATACGGGGGAGGGCACGTCCCGTTGCTGGACGCACGTACACACAGAGATCCAGCTCGCCTACTCGTTCACGGTTATGCCTTATTTATGAGCGCAACGATGCTTCCGAGCGCGGACAAAAGGCAAGAAATATGCCTCGCGTGGAAAAGTAGAATTCCATTCGTGGCGGGCACGCGTCGTTAAGGAGGGATTGTACGAATGCGACTGTTCTTCGCGTTTTTTTTTCTTTTTTTCTTTTTCTCTTTTATATATATATATATATATCGCACGAGGCCTCGAGAAATTTGTATTCCTCGAGGATATTATCCTCGTGGAGGATGAGATTTCTTTTTTTTTTTTTGGGAGGGAATTTATGGTTAATCGAGTTTGGAAGATGGATATGCGTGTAACTGTAGTTTTAAGAACGTGCAAGGTTTCAGAAAGGTCGATTTGTAATGCGAGATTTGTAGTAGTCGCACTTGTGCACGGTCGTTATCGAAGGGAAACGAGGGCGTGTAACATTCGTTCGTAAAATGTTATTTATAAAATGTTCCGTGGATCGATAAGAAGATTATTTTACGATATTTACGAATTTTTTAAACGGAAGTTTCTTTTTTTTTTACGTTTCTCGAATGTTACATCGTTGAATTACATATTTCTGTAAAAATAATCCACGACTTACAATCCCTGCCCGACAACAACAACAACAACAAATTATGGGGAAAAACAAGAACAATGTTACAACATTACATGACTCGAGACCAAGGCATCATGAAGCGAAAGGAACTTTCTTGGCTCGTTTAGAAATAAAATAAAATAAAATAAAATAAATTTAAAAAAAAAAAGAAAGAAAGAAGAAAAGGAGGAAGAGGGAGAGGGGAGGAAGAAGAAGAAGGAAGCCAACCCTCGTTACATACGAATAATTTACGATATCGTTTTCTCCTTACACGTAGCCAGGAATTTTCAGCCTAAAGCAACACTGGTGGGCAACGTTTGTAACGGGTTTTACACACGCACCGGCGGTAGTTGCAAAATAATTGTTAAACAACAGGTGAGATTGTTGAGACATTATTGCATACTTAACAGGGTAGCATGTTAACAATAGGTTTTTTGCAAAAGTGTGCAGAGTGCGCGCTCCTTGCTTCCTGTTCGCCTGGTAACATTAATTTATTGGCACGGTTTAAAAGCGTAGCGCACGCCCTCGCCGCGTTTACAAAACCACGATACACAAAAATCTTGTTGCAATCAGCGCACAATTGCGGGGAAAAAGTATCGAGATACGCAATGTTCTTCTCTTTCTCATCTCGAGGGTCGCTTGATGAAAGGCATTCCGAGCCGACGAGTACAAACAAACGATCGCAAATTACGATCGAATCAAGATCCTTTTGTTCCAAATTCATTTATTGCAACATTGTTCGATTATGGTTCCGAACGAAAATTGAACGAAATGATCTCCTGATTCTCCAAAAATTTGATTTTTAATAATCACGATTCTTTTTAACAAAAGTTAAGTGGATGTGTCACGATGCAAAATGGATTGCTACCAGAGAAAATGTTCCTCAGAATTAAAACGAATCACGAAAAAAGACACGAACTCTTGCAAATTTAAATTTTATTACAAATAAGTACTTGTATTTAATAATAATTCGACACATTAATCGATCTTCATTATCGATGTTCAAGCTCACAATTTTTTTTATCAAAAGTTGAGTAGAATTATATCGTATTAATATGCCACGATGCAAAATGGATTGCTACCATATTTTTACCACAGAAAATTAAAACGAATCACGAAAAAAGGTCACGATCATTTTCACAAACTCTTACAAATTTAAATTTTATTACAAATAAGTACTTGTATTTAATAATAATTCGACACATTGATCGATGTTCAAACTCGCAATTTACTCGCATTATTCGTTAACCCACTCATTTAATCCGGGCAGATAAAAGTAAAAGCACGATTTTTCGTCAACGTTGCACGGGACGAAATTTCGCAATCGATGGGACAAGCTAAACTCCTCCCTCGCACGTGGTGAGCGGCGCACGCCGCGTAACGCACGCCCGCCCAATGCATCTTAGCTCGCGTTACTACGCGTGTGTCGCGACGCGGTCACGTGGGCCGCGAGACACGCGATACCGAGGCGGCGCACTCCTTCGAGGCGATGCTCGCCTGGTAGACGAGCGATCAAGACGTTTGCGCAAATCGCTCGCCGCGCGTACGCACGAGGTACGCGCTCGCGTTCCTTCGTCGCGCATACGTACGTAACGTCTTCTCTGCGCATACGTGCCGTGACGAACGAGAATCGTTTCGTCCCTGCGAAACGAATAGGAAAAGGAGAAAAGAAAAAGCTCGATGTCTCGTACGAACGAAGGTTTTTTCCTTCCCTCTCCGAGTTTCATAATTTTATTTAAAATTGCTCGAATAACGTTTGTTCTGTGACCGTTACTAATTGATCCGCTGCTCTTCGTACTTTCTTGGCTTTAGTTTGACGGCTACGGTTATATGCATGTATGGTTAGTCGAATGAGAAATTGTTGAGTTTATGTTCAAGCGGTCAAATTTTGCTTGCCCGTCTCTGAGGGTTGGATTAAAGTGTTATTTGGAATAGTAAGCGAACTTGTTTATTAGTGAAGTATGGATACGAATTTTGAAAATGATTGGCATTTGAAGAATATATTGAAAATAGTTGGATTTTTTTTAATATTATTTTAATTTATTTTAAGTAACGTTTTATTACTTGTATAAAGAAATTGTATATGGTATAGTAGAAGCTTCATTATTCGTACTAATAGTAAGACAAGTTAAGGATAATGAAACAAATGAGATTTTCTTAAAATTATACTTTCTGTACCTCGAATGCTTCAAAGTGAGAAAATAGATGACACCTTCAATGCATTTCTCTCTTGTTTTTACTAGTATTAAAATTTGAAATATTGTTAACATTATTCTTTTCATTATAATTTTTATCGTCATTGAACATGACATCGTATTCTCCACATCCTGGCATTCTATCGTAATAGATTTAAAAGTATATGCGTTTACATTTTTGCTAATATACAATTATCTATGTGAGAATATTTGAATAACGGATATCATATAATAGGTTGAATCTTTCAACAATTTTTGAAAACTTTTCAAATTCTCCTTTTTCTTTTTTTTTTTTTACAAAATTACAACAGTTCAAAATATAATTTTTCATCGAATATCGATCCACTTATTCTCCTTACCATATATCCAACGTTGATTAAATTACAAATAACGGCTAAAAACAAGAAATATTTTCATCTCTCCAGAATTTTACAAAGAAGAACTAACTAACTTTTTCTCACTCCTTGGATATCAATCTTTCGATCATATACCGTGTCTCTTAATTACCGCGTGTTTAATATCTTAAAAGGAATATACCCATATCCCTCGAGCTCGTTAAGTTTCCATCGTAACAAGATGTGTACGTGCCGTTTAAGTGGTAATTACGCGCACGAATTAGCGACACGTGCTGACGAGAGAAGAAAAGTAAAACCTAGTGTTAGAAAGCGTGGCCATCTTTCTCTCCGCCATTACCGTTCTTCAATTACAATGCGTCCAACGATATCTTTATCCAAATAAAGATCGCGTTACGATCGAGCTTTTTCGAAGGGAATTCGAAATAGCACGAATAATTATTCAAATTGTTTAATCGTTTAATTGCGGGTCGATGGATCCACGCGTGCGTGGTGAGAAGTGTGAAGGTTTCGTTACCATCAGAAGGTATTACAATCCAACGATAATTTTCAATGGAACTGACAGGTTGTGTAAATACTTTTATGGAAACGTTGACACACATTCCTTCAATAACTTCGATCGCGATACATTGAGCAACCAATCTCTCTCTTCTCCTCCTCTCGAACTGTTTGACGAAAAATATCTTTCCGCGTTATTTAAAATTCTACTACTTTTTTTTTTTTTTCCTTCATTCAAACGAAATTTTAATCCATCTCCACTTTCTTCGTTTCCACGCAATTTTATATTGCACAGTGTATATATCTATATAGATTCGCAAGAATCTCGTACGTAACGGATTGCGCGGTCCATTGAGCTCGCGTATAACTCGAATGCTTAAAATCGGGGACGGGATGATAAATTGTGAAGCGGTTTGCAGCGGCTTCCGCCGAGGGGCGGCCATCATTTTCCACGTTTCGTAATTTTTTTTTATTTTATCCATCCGCGACTTTCGACTCGAATTCGCCGTGTTTGAATAGTAGCGATATTATTTATCCGATGTATCCTGGTGATCCAAGAGAAATTTTCATTCCTTGAAAAATTTCATTTTTCGAGACACCTAAGCTTCCGGGAAAGGAATCGAGCAAACGTTGAACTTTTCGTTTTTTTTTTTTTTAATTTTTTTTCTTTTTTTCTTCACTCGACGGATGAATCACGCGTATTTCTCATTTCACGGGAAATTTAAGGTCATCGAAATCGCTAGTCATCCAGAAAGCCTCGACGAGCTTCGATAATATATATATATATATATATATCCCCTTCGTTCTCTTCGCGTGAACTTTAACGGAGCCAATGAGCCAGCTTGGTTTTAACGCGGATAATTGCCTCGCATTTTTTCCACTCCATGTTAATTAGAGGTATACGATAAAGTGACAGAGAAAAGTGGAATTTTTTCTCTTACGAGTAGGCATCTCGTGGATAAAATATTTTCTGTTGCTATTGTTGTGTTTGTATCGAGAGATGAATTCAAGTTTTTTTAAGAAAAATTAAAATTGGAAATGAATTGAATCCTTTTAAAGAAAGAGATTAATTTTACTTGAACTTGGTGTACTTGTTGTTATTGTCTTTTGTGAATATAGCATAATCTCTTTTTATATTGTATACAGGTCACGTAATACCGAATAACGTTATGAATGGAATATTATTTATTTTTTTTTTGTATTATATAAGTAACAATGCTAATCTAATTTCCTCGGTTAAAAATTCGACACAAAGCCAAGACAATAAATGTTGCGTAATCTTTCTCTACCCATAAATAAAGAAGAGAGAATTCCATCATCATCATCATCATCATCATCATTAACATCATCTGGTTTCATCATTTTTCGTTTCAAGATTCTTCTTTTCAAATAAGATTATTATAAGAAAATTGTTGGAATCACTTCTTTCACTCGCCTTGTCTTGGAATCTCGTAAAATAATTTTTTAATGGATTATTCACGAAGAGAGGAATAAACAAACTGTTGTTAAAGCTAGGCTAATTTAAATAATCTTCCAGGTTGCGTTCACTTACATTGAATCCCGATAAAAAAAAATTATTAAGGGGACAGTTAATTGACGATAAAAAATAATTGACGATCGAAACTTGTCGAACAGTTGGAAACGTGTTGTAAATAAGTGAAATGTTTGATTTTATGATTGCACGCTTATAAAACGTTTGTATATTATTGTAGCCTGGAAATCTGAATGATCATCGATAGAAACGTTAATTATAGTTAAATCTACCATGTATTATTCTGCCATTTTAAATCTACCGTATAATTATCTTTAAAATAGTTATGCCTACTTGATTATTCAAAAACGCACTTTACAGTTACCAAACAGTTTACACTTATCGTTATTCCACACTTTTATTATTTGCAATGGAAACGATTGTAATTATTTTTTATTAATTCAACTGCTCGCATAATCCTAGCCAATGTACGATATATCAAGATATATACTGATCGATAGATACACCAGAAATCTTTCAATCGGCAAAACAGATCAGAACGAAAATTCCCACCATTCTCTTCTTCGTAGAAATATCAACTACTGTTCACGCTGGAAAGAAGTTTCGCGGGACGGCACAGGGGCAAGACGGGTAGTCCTTCGCCACGACCATTTATCCCCACTTCAGACGCCTTTGTTGACAATCCTGACACCACGCGGTACATAATATAACAACAGAAGAAAGAAGCTATAATTCGAATATTCAAAATCGTAAAAATTATTTTCATTTATGAAGTTGGGTTAGGATAATCATGAAATATTTAACGAAACTTATTAATTATTTTGATAGTATGTCCAGATTCGTACAATTATTATTTTATTTACTCGAATACGAAATTATATTTATAAACTATCGTTACAAATCGTAATTAACTTATGCATATTATGAGAGATAAAAAAATTTTTATATTGATAAATTAGATTAAAATTCTTTGGATTCTATGCCCTATGCTAATACATCTAAGTGATAGATAGGTTATCACTTAACCGATTAGACTTGCGAAATTTCTTTTCACCAGTGAACAATACGTTTATACACGCATCAATATCAGAAACCAAATCGACAAAACGATCTCCCTCGATCGACTCGATATGCGTTTCACCGACATCACGCTCCTTCCCAAAGAGGTTAATCCCAAAAGCACGAATAACTCTATCTCCATTCTCCATAGTAACATATTCTTCACTGGAAAATAATCGCCAAACAACTGGAATGAATTCAAAATTTTTCTCTCTCGATTCGACCTAATCCAAATCCTCTCGTCGTCGTTCCGCCGAAAGAGGCGCAGCCGGTTACGTTAACCGTTATGACCACCATTGATTCCGATGTCACTGGCACTTTGGTATAGCAGCGGCGCACGGTGCGCGCACGAGCGACGTGGTGGACGACTCAAAGAGGAAGGGTGCATCCAAAGGACCGTCAGCTGCACGTTGACGTCTGGCGCAGACGTAATGCCACGCGTGTATCCGGAGAACAGAATGCACGTGGCACGTGGCGCAAAGTGTTGCGACTTTTGTGCCATTACACGCTCTGCGTGAAAATGGAAGAAACACGCGTGCTCCCCTCCCCTCCCCCTCTCTGTCTGCTCGCTCGGCGATCCTCGTTGGAAACCGCGGGAAACGGATATGGAACGCGTCTCGACCCGTGAATGAATATAAAATTTATAAAGAAAAATTTAGAAATTTAAAAAATAGAAATTGATCTCGGTTGTGTGTATCGATTTTAATACGAGAGTGTAAACGAAATGTTACTGGTTTCTTTAACTTCTTTCCCTGATAATTAAAATTTCCACGTTTAATGTAACGAACCGATACCAAGCTAATTATATATATCTAATTTTAAATTTTCCGCATTGTTTTTCTTCTTAGTAATTATATAATAATTACCGGTTTAATATAATTTTTCTTTTTTTTTTTTACGACACGATTAGAAGCAAGAATAGACCTTATATACTTAGATGTGAGACATAATAGGTCACGATTAATCTTAAAATTTTTCGATAAACGTGCGAAACAACTTTTATTTTTCTTTTTAAGTAGAGCGTGAAACAACAGACGAAAAAGCAGACGACAGTAAAGAAGATCGGGGGATACAGGAGGGATACAAATTTCTGTTCTGTAGAAGTTAGTAGCCGACGGGGTCGCGCGTGTAAATCAAAGTCGAGGCCATTAAATTCCGAAGTTACGATAACACGTGAACTTTTTTCCTCGCCTAGCCGTGCAACGTATCACCATTGTTACCGAACAAGCGAAACAATGGACAGATAATACGAGGCACGAAGAGCGGGAAGAACAGAAGTGAAGAAAGAAGAGGAGGAGGAGAAGTGCAGAGTCCCTCTCCAGCATCTCTCTTCTTATAGAGAACGGCCCCGGGCTGTCCATCAGATCGAACGTGTGAGATATGGCCGGCCACGATTGTGTCTTGTCAATTTCTCATAAAAAAGAAAAAAAAAAAAGAAACGACGAATCACCGTTTGAAGAGAAAATATTCAATCTTCAAACGCTCGAGTTGTGTCGATCGAAGAATGTGAAATACTTTTTTAAGGTAAATTTCGCTGGGATGAAAGAAACGAGTTTGAACGATTCGAACGTTCTACCTTCCTATTCGTTACTTTAAATATTTAATACTCGAATTTATCTCGAAATTGAAAATATTCTATCTATTAAAATTACGAATTTTATATATATCAGTGGTCGAGATGATCTTAAATTTATGATCGATAATGCGATCATAATTGATGTTCGTGCTTTTCGTTTCATCGATTCGCTGAATAATAGGTTAAGAATTTTCGATATCATAATGTAAGAGATAAAGCTGCAAACCTGTCTCGTGAGAGGAAAAAATTATCCAATCTTCCTCCTCCCTCCACGATTTTTTTTCGAAAATTATTTTATACGTAGGATAGATTTATAAGTGGAAATATAATCTCTTTATCAAAGTAATAATATTTAAGTTTTCGAAAGCGATGCATTTTCTAATGCATTTTTTTATCTTTAATCTCGCGATAAGAGAAGTTGCGATAAAATGAAGCGAAATTCTTTGGAAATTTTTCCAAGAGACGAAAAAAAGGGGGAAAATAAAGACGAACAGGCGCCTGTGTTTCTCTGCGTTAAATTTGAACGTGTGATTTATAAACATAGCTTCGTTCAAACGTTACTTTAAACTGGGATCGAATTTCCAAAAAGTTCAGGTTCACGAATCCGTGTTCCAGATCACGAAACTTAAACCGACTCTCTCGCTCTATATTTCGTTCCATCGCAAAAACCAAGCCCCTCCTCTTCCCTTATATATTTTTGTATAGTATCTTACTCGCTCTGATTGTCGTCCATTTTCCTATCGTCCATATCCCTGCGTCCAACGAGATTGATTTTCAACTTAATTTCTTAAAAACTATATACAACTATATTTTGATATTGTTTTTCAACGCGTGTTCAAATATAGAGATATTAATTGTAAGAAAATAAACGAATTAATCAGTTTAGAAACTGAGTAATGAAATTCAGGTCGATATATAAGTATCGAATTAATATTCTTTTAACGATCATTCCGCTCTGATTTTCACTCACGCATTCCGTTTGCTTGTGGCTTATATTAACCGGGTGAATTTTAAACGGTCTTTCTAATTTGTTTGTTTCCTCGAATTGGAAATCCACTTTAAAGATAATTATTATTGCGTTGCCGTGTCACCTTGGACGAAACGACGCGAACGCGTTTGTTATTATCGCGCTTTCCTACGATTCGTTGCTGTTGCTGTGAAAACAAAGGTTAACGAATAGATCGTTGGATTTATAAAGTAAAATGTTATTAAATTTAGCATTTTACTTAAGATAATGTACTTGTAGTAATCCTTGATGGTGATGAGAATTATTTGAGGAGTTGTAATTTGGGTTGATTACTATAATGGAATGAATATCCGCTTGTAAATTCCATTTTTTTTAACATTGGAATTTCACTTCGAGTTTTAAATCTGAGTAGACAAAAGTTTCAGAAGAGGGATCGAATCGATTCGATAATTATTAATATTTCTTTTTCTTTAAATTCTTGGTTAGAAAATAGAATGAGAGAAAGGCAGAGTAGCCGACGGAGAAAATTTGAAAAGATATATGTGGAGATATATGAAGAGAAATAGCATTTCGAAGGAAAGTTAGTCGTAATTTGCCAGTTAAATCGAGGAGGAAAAGTTTGGTGAAACGAACGACATTGGATTGCGCGTGAGTGAAACCGTTTATGAGAACACAAATGGATCTGTACTGTATTCAAAGAATTCTTATCATCTTCGAGCTGTTTGAATTCAACTCAAGTGAATGTTGAGAGATATTTTCACGTTACTCGATTAATTTTAATCGATTGATGGTCCAACAGCAATTTGAATTTGATTCTTGTATTAAATCGATAAAATGAAGAATTATAATCGTATCCAATACTGTTATTAGACAATTCAGTTTTACGTTAAATCGATTAAACGATAAATTTTATACAAATTGATGTTATTGGGCAACTTGGATTTTTGTATTAAATCAAGTAAAAAAAAATTGTAATCGACTTCCATTATGGCATTGGACAACTTTCCATTAAATGAAAAATTGTAATCGATGGTCCAACATTGTCATTAACCAACTTGGACGATTTTTATATCAAATCGATTCAACACTGTCATTAATTTGGAAGATTTTTATATTAAATCGAATAAAAAATTGTAATCGATTTCCATTGGACAAGGTTTCACGTTAAATCCGAAAAATTATAATCGATCGATGTCCAACATTGTTATTAGGCAATTTGGAAGATTTTTATATCAAATCAAATAAAAAATTGTAATCGATTTCCACTATAACATTGGACAACTTTCGCGTTAAATCCATTAAATGAAAAATTGTAATCGATCGATGTCCAATATCCTGTCGTTATAGACTCAATTTTTATATTAATCGATCGATATTAGTTAAGCAATTTTTAGGTTAACTCGTCAAATGAAAAATTGTAATCCATCGATGTCCAATATTCTGTTGTTATAGACAACAACTAATCGATTTTTATATTAATCGAAAATTGTAATCGATCGATATTACGAGTTGAACAATTTTGAGGTTAACTCGTCAAATGAAAAATTGTAATCCATCGATGTCCAATATTCTGTTGTTATAGACAACAACTAGTCGATTTTTATATTAATCGATCAATCGAAAATTGTAATCTATCGATATTACGAATTAAACAATTTTGAGGTTAACTCGTCAAATAAAAAATTGTAACCATCGATGTCCAATATTCTGTTGTTATAGACAACAACTAGTCGATTTTTATATTAATCGATCAATCGAAAATTGTAATCGATCGATATTACGAGTTGAACAATTTTGAGGTTAACTCGTCAAATGAAAAATTGTAAGCGATCGATGTCCAACACTGGTATTAGGCAACGCTCGAGTCATTCTCGTTCCCTTGTTCTCCAATGAAAAATATAATGTCAAATAGCGGTACGCACTGTATTAGAAGTGCGTGTTTAACCCAGATCGTTCACGGTACGACATTGTGCTAGACGTTCTCGATAAGATCGCGAGCATAATGATAGACACTGGCATGTTGCCGAATCACTGCTCCTTCTAAAGTATAACCATTCGATTTGTACAAGGATGTGAAATCTTTCTCGTCCTCGTTCCTATATCTCTTCTCGTTTCTTCTTCTTCTTCTTCTTATATCCGGGGCGAAATTTACTCGACACGCGACCACCGCTATCATCTACGAGTGAGAAGAATCGAG